GTTCAAAGGCAAAAGAAATACACAAACTTGCTGACAGTAAAAAAAACTGGAAAGTTCAAATAATAGAAAATTTGTGACAGTACAAATGAATGACACTCTAGTGAGATTTCAATTGGTCACTTGTAGCAATATTACAATTATTCATAAACAAACTTTGAACAGAATTAGCAAGTCTAACTTGAGAAAAACTGACAAAGTTACAAGAGGAATATCAGGAAGAAATTCATTTTTTTCCTTAGCAAAATCATATGTAACATCACCCTTGTGGGTAAAACTAAAAAACCAGATGTTTACATATTAAAAAGTTCCAACTCAAATCTACTAAGCATCAATTGACTAGAATTATTTGAACTATGGAATTGGCCAATTAATTCATTCCATGGAAAAATTGATTGTTCATCAGAGAAAAAAAGATTACAGCAAAAGAAACACTGAATAAATGAAAAAAATAAATTCATATCTATTTTCTCAGAGGAGTTGGGAAAAATGTACATAGTCAAAGGCATTTTTTAAATTAAATGTTGTACCAGTGTTTAAGCCTAAAAGAAATATACCTTTTGTTATGTAGGAATCTATTAAAACTGAACAGGTTAGAAAACTGCAGAGTTATTGAAAAAAAAATAGATTACTCAAAATAGGCCACACCAACAGTTAATATTTGAAAGAAAAATAATAAAATTCATTTATGCACAGATTGTTCAAGATTGAAGGACTGCCTCCTACCACATACATATCCCCTACCAACTCCAGTCGATAGATCTACCAAATTAAATGGTGGTAATTTTTTTCAAAAATTGACCTGTCTGAGGTACATCTTCAAATCAAAGTGGATGAGGAAAGCCAGAAGTTTTTGACTATTAATGCACATTAAAAAGATTACCCTTTGGTATAAAAGTAGCCTCAGGTATTTTCCAGCAAATAATGGATACAATGCTAGTTGAACAAGATGGTGTAGTCGCTTACTTATATAATATACTTATTAAGAGTGCAACAAAAATACAGCACATAAAACTGATTCAGGAAATATTTCAGAGATTACATGATTACGGTTTCAAAATCAGTGAACAGAAATGTCTTTTTTTTTTTCTGGAAAAGATTAAATATTTATGTCAGATAATTGAAAGAAAAGAAAGAAGACCAGATCCCACTCAAGCAAGTACCATTAAAGACATGCCTCCCCACAAATATTTGGTAGCCCTACAATCATTTCTTGTATTACCAAATTATATTTACGTGCCAGAGATTTACAAATTGCAAGCACCCCTAAATAATTTATTTAACGGTACAAAATGGAACTGATCAGCAGAATGTCAAAAGGCTTTTGAAAGAATTAAAAAACTACTATCTTCGTTGACACATGATCCATACAGACAGATAATCGTAGCAATCGGACGCAAACAAATACAACATAAGAGCAATAAATTCAAAGAGTACAGTAAAAGCAATTGCTCACACTTCAAAAAATTTGACAGATATGGAAAAATGATACAGTCAAATTGAAAAGGAAGCATTTGCTATAATTTTTGATGTAAAGAAATTTCATAGGATATTAGGAAGAAAATTCATACTGCAAACAGTTGGTCTATGATTTTACTGAACTATTATTTCAAAATAGAATTTTTATCATCAAAGAAATTTGGACATGCAGATGGCTTATCTAGATTGATATTGAAATCTAACTATGATTACTTTGCTAGAATCCAAAAGCGAAAATAAAAGCCTGGTGTGTAACACTTAAAGAATTGCCAGTCACGATAGACAATATAAAAATTCATTCTAAAAAGGATATCTTTATTCAAAAAACTATGAATAAAACTAAAATTAAACCTGCTATAATAATATAGCATTTTTCTATTTGTAATTATATATATATATATATATATATATATATATATATATATATATATATATATATATATATATACACACACACACACAGATAAATAGATAGAATTGTAATTCTGACAAGGCAGATTTTTTTTTCTTTCCACAGACCACCTTACCATCCAAGGCTATAGAACCCAGTCTGTCCTACTATTTACCCATAGCTGGGAGGAGAAGAGGATTCATACCTTTCCAAGGGTATTAGCATGTAAGTGAAGACAATGGATTTGTCTAGAATTCAAACTCAGCTCTCCTATTTCTTAATCCATTACTCCATGTCTCCTAGGTAATATTACATATTTTTATTAGTTAAGTTCTTAAATTGAATTTAAATATTAAACTGTTGTCAGCTTTCATGATAAAATACTATTTTTTTCAATTTGGAAAAAAGTAGAAAAAGTAGAAAATTGCAAAATATCAAGAGGTTTAACTGTCTTAGCCTCTTCCTTCTCCAACCATGACAAACCTAGAAATGAACCAAATCTAAAACCAATATTAAGAGATAGAAAGAAATTAAGATCTGTCTAGTGGTGGTGGGGGGGGGGGGGGAACCAAATTTTTTTTTCTTTTTTCCCTGTTCTTTTTGGGTAAGTCATAACCCAGAATGTTTACATACTACACACTTCACTGTTAAATGAATACAAGTTTGCTGAATGACAACAAAACTAGGTTACCACTCTTATTACTACAATTAAAAGGGATAGGAAGTCTCAAAATGCTGAGGTTAAAAATTGGGCCATTGAGGATTATAAAAACTAGATATTTTACTTAAATTTTTTAGGCGGTGGGAAGAGATGTAATTACACGCACAACAGAGCAAACAGTAAGAAACATCCAAAAAGTTGTTAATTTCTACCAAGTGATACTTAAAGCATTTGTGCTGATTGGCTTGCCAAGAAATGAATGCTCAGTGCACAGAAGATGGATATTGACACTTTGATAGTTATCTAAATGAATTATGTCACTAAGCAACAGATTACTAAGAAAATAAAAAAAATTTTTTTAGTCATAGCAGAGATGGACTGTTATATTTAGAACTACTAAATGTAAATGGCATTAAAATAAAATTAATAAAAATTTGAAAACTAAAGATTAATATAATGATTGTTGTACAACATCTCAAGTAGGTTCCTCCGCATGATGAAAAAAAAAAAAAAAACTCCAAACACAATAAAAACAAAGTTTTGTTAAAATGTGTGTTAAGAGGAAAGACCAAAGTATTTTTATTATTATTTTTTAAAATTTTTAACTCCTTTGTAGCATGTTTGAACTTTTGGCTAAAAATCTTTTTTTATTTTTACATCAGCAGTGGACCAAAGATAAAGGAAGATTTTAAAAATTGATAATTTTGTTTTGTTTACAAATTTCTTAAAATTAAGAAAATGGACGCTTTTAAGAAAATTTTCTTAAATCGGATGAAAAGTTGAGATTCCAATGTATATAATTTTTATTTAAAATACACCAGAATACTTTACTTACTGGAAATAGTAAATTTATTCATTTAGTTTTCAATTAAAGCTAAAATGAAATCTTCAAGAATGCTTTTTCATTTTTAAAAATTAATTTTAAACTTTAGGTATCGAAAATTTAGTGGAGGTCCCTCATCTCAAGGAATATTTTTTTTACAATCATATCAAGATGCTCTTTACCCAGTCATAGATTTTTAATTGGAAAAACTCTTGCAGGACAGAAACAGGCAATAGGTAGTTTGCATTACCTTTAAAAAAAAAAAAAAAAAAAGCATTCTGGAACCATAAATAAGACTTAAATTCTGCCTACCCAGCCACCTTTGGCAGCCAATATAAAAACTAGAAAGATATTTTTAAAAGGAGTTTAAAGGCAAATATTGGTCATTGGACAATAATACAACCAAAGTGTCATTGCAAATATCTAAATTTAGATCAATATCTCCAGAACATATTATACTTAACCTGCAGACAGGATTATCCTATACCTCACTTGGTCATGAGTAAGGAAACTGAGAACTGAAGCAACATACTAGATTACAATTCAAAATTTTAAATAGTTCAAAAGTTGCAACGTATCAAAAACACTTAATTCATAATAGATGGCCATTTGATGTAAAGAAACAAAATCACATGCAATATTCTTATGCTTTAAAGATAATATTTCAATATCCAAGAATAAAAATGGAAGTTTTAAGAGTTTACTTTCTATGTTTTAAGGCATAATAAAAACCACACTGATGTGAGCTGTATCAAGAGAAATAATCAATTAAAACTGAAGAATGATTTTTTTTACTTATATTCCATAATTTGAAAAACTAACTTAAGATTTTAACTTTAAAAAAATAACATTTCAGACTTATAGATATGCTAGATAGATAGATTCTAAAATCATCTAGAACAACAAAGTGAACCAACTTTCCTAGCAGCAGACCTAGATTCAGTATAGTTTTTCCACTTTATGTCAGCGAAGAATGTTTGCCTGAAAAGGGACAAGTCACTCTTCTGGAGGCTAGCATCAGGAAGGCAGAAAGGGGTCTCTCAGATGATTAATAGAGAGCAGTTTAGTTCTGGAGGTGTTAAAATTAAGGAGCCATTCTTTGGCCCAGTTAACAGACTAGATCATGTTTTAGATCAGCTGCTAATTTGAGCATATCAAGCTGATCAGACTTACTATTGAGACAGGAGTAAATGATTGTATAGTCAAGCATAGATATCAAGTTGAGAACTGATGTCATCAGGAAGGCTGTTGATGAAAATTAAGAACAAGGTAGGTCCAAGGATAGAGCCCTGGGGAAAACCAGCAATAGTACAAAAGGATCTAGAAGAGTGGCTGTTCAGGACAACTTTCATGATTTGATAATAAAGACCGAGTCAGTTCAAAAATTTGTCTAACGATATCATAACCTATCAGCTTATGAAGAAGACCAGTATGCTTTGGACATCTCAAATGTATTTAAGATGTCTGAAGCAACAGCCTGAGAATCACCATTTTTATATAAAGTTTGATAGACTTTCAGCAATAACCCACAATACATCAGCAGTTGACCTAGAGAAATCTTAAAGATGACATGCAGTTAAAAGTTTAGTGATTCAAAGAAAATGTACAAAAATAATGCCCATTTAAGATGTAAATAATTTTGAACTTACCTGCTTGGTCTAGTAATACTTCCTCCCCACCAGGATGCTGAAAAGTGAAATTTTAATAGTAGTTAAGAGAGAACAATGACAAGAATATCTAATAAGGTTTTAATTTACAAATATCTAAAAAGATGAATTTAATATGAAAAAAAAAAAAAAAAAAAAAAAAAAACAAAGCATTAAATTTAAATATCAAATAAAGATGTAAACCAAGATGATGCTTATTATCTGCATTTTACAACTACAGATTAATAATTGTTGTTCAAAGCAATTCAAATAAATGGAGTACTTTTTAAAATTAAATTGAATAATTTATTATTTGGAAGAACATTTAAGTTGTACTGAGATTTTTTCATTAAAGCCAACTATTTGTTAATTTGGATATGTTATACCACAATTATATGTAGAAACTTTAATTTATTGCTACTTCAAGCTAAAACTTGACATTCCTTTCTATACCTATTTGATACTATTATACTGACTTATATTTAATCTACTTATAAAATTAAGTAAATAGCTAAAACAGTTGCCCTAATTTTCAAAGCTTTTTCTACATTTCATGCAGATAGACTAAGCTAAAGACCAGATTTGACTACAATCATTTAGCTAATCTAGATCTACATAGCTGGAGTAAAAGATCTCCATCTCTACAATTAAAGGGCATTGTCAAATTATTTCTGTTATGGGCAAGAGTCACAAGACCTAAGCAATTTCAATAATGAATAACCATCTGGCTGCACAGGTTTTTGCATCCAGTTGTAAGCAAGATCAGCTGGTTCCTTAAAACAGAAAACAAAAGTCAAAATATTGCATAAACTCCCCACCCACTAAACCAAAAGAAAAAAAGTACACTGATGAGATGTTAATGTTTTCTTTCCTGGAAGTAAAATGTGCACAAGCAAATGGCAAGGTAACCCGACATTTACAACAAAAAATTCCAAGTGAAGCTTCTCTTGTTTTATTTCAGCTTTTCAAACAAACAGAAATGGGGTGGGAAGACAAAAGTGTGCATTGTTATTGACATAAAGTGTAACAAACACTCAAAAGATTATAATTGTCACTTTTTTTTTTTTTTAATTAAAGACTTTAAAACTTATTTATTGAATATCTTAAACATTACAAAGAAATAATGAAGTGAACTTATTTCAATCTGTTAATGTAAAAAAGAGACACATATGAAGAAATTAAATAAGACATCTCTATTGGTCATGTAGCACCAATGGAAACAAGTATTTTTTCTCTCCAGAATCTATCTTACACATTAATAAGTCTACCATTCATCCATGCTTCAAATATTGCTACTTCATATGGTCCAGTACTCCTGCAAAATATTTAGAAATTTTTTATAAAACCCAAGTAAGAATCTGCAATGTTATTGGCCCTGAGCTAGTATCTCAACTTCAGTAACTTCCCCACCACCATATTATAGCTTCTTTGTGCCTTTCTATAAATACTTTCATGGTAAGTGTTCAGATGAATTTTCTGCTATAATACCTGGACTTTATGAATTTAAGTGTAGTACTAGATTAGTAACAAGGTCTCATCAATTTACAGTTAAATTGGTTAGATGCAACCATGATCTATACTTCACCCATACTTATTGCTAGTGGAACTCACTTCCAGCTCCAGATTTCCAGGCAACTTTGATCTTCAAAAATTTAAATGCAATGTCACTCATTACCTACAACCTTCCTGATTCCTCCTCTTTTATTGTTCTCACTCCTTAATAATGGTTTTCTTTTCCTTATTCTTTCACACTCAGTAATCTCTTGTGTCTTAGTGGCTTTACTGTCTTGCTTGGAGTAAAATGCTAAAAATAAGTAAAAATAAAAAATCTGTACAATAGTTATCAAGAATTGGTTTATTGCCTTTTACAGAAAGGTTTGGACAAAAAGATATTCTTACTAATCTTGACAAGCTTTTACATAAACAGAAAATGAAAAACCATTTCCTTGATATTTTACTCTGAAAACCCTTACACAAACACCATCCTCAGCAGTTACAAAGTCTCTTCAACTGGTAAGATAAAAGATACATTTCTCTTAAAATTGTGTTAACCAGTCATCTAGTTTTGAAACTAAGTTGAAAGCAAAAGGAGCAAAAAGTGAATATTGTAAAAATAATTTTGCTATTTATTAAACTTGTGAAATAAGAGCTGCTTGCCAACTGAGAGTTTTATAATGTTATAGATGATTTGATTGCAAGAAGAGAAAAACAAAGGAAGAGAACCTAAAATAGGGTTTAACATATTTTAGTGAAAGTGATAAAAAGTCTTGTCTTATCTTCAAATTGAAAACTTGCACTACTGAACTCCAAATAAAATCATTATCATAAAAATTAAGTCACTCTGAAATATCTGTCACTGATCAAATCCAACCAACCAAGAATAATCCAAGAGTGAGGAAGTGGGGTCCTCTCCTGTCACTTCATTAGTTACAATTCTTAACTAACCCATGATAAACATAATGTTAGCCAATAGGTAGTAATCATTAATATAAATCTAGGTACCTCCAATAATTCCCTAAAAAATCAGTATAGCATAATGATAAAAGGTCTGAAACTTAATAAAAACAAAGTTTCATTATTAAAATGTTTATGCTATTATTAAGAGGAAAGAACAAAGTATTTTTTTAAATATTTTTCCTTTTTTCTAACACGTTCTAAATTTTTCAAAAATTTTTTTTTTTTTTGTAATACTTGTGGTAATGGCCATTTTAGTGTAGCAGTTTCAGGAGGAAAACCCATTAATTTGGAAATTCTTGCAAAAATCAAATAATTGTGATTTTAATGAAACTTTCAGGACTTATTAAAAAATGAATGAATATTTTTTAAATTTTTATTTTTAGAAAATCTTGGTAAAATTTTTTTTTTTTTTACATTTGTTACCCTCCATGAATTAATTTTATGAAATTTTCTAGAACTTCCAAGAGTATGAAAATTATTTTATGTTACTTATAAACAGGACTCCTTGGAGAAATTAAATCATCAATTTTTTTTTTTTCACAACCACTGACAACTTTTTAAAAATCTGCTCCAAATCGTAAAATAAAAACTGCAATAAACTAATTATCAAATTAGATAGGCTTTTATTTGCTTTTATAAATAATATACATTAAGGACATTATTGTCTGAAGAAAAGAAATTTTTGATGAATAAAGAATTTTTACAAGAATTGTTTGCATTTTTCTTTTATTTTTTTTTATTTTACTTTAATTTTAAAAAATGTTTTAAAATTCTTCCAAGCAGAGTGTGGTGGCAGTTATTAAGTTTTTAAGTGAAGACTATATTTACTAAGCAAAAATGAAAAGCTTAATATAAATAATGCTACCAAAACTTTTTACCATAATCAAAACTTTTTTTTGTATGTCAAAATGTTATTTTTTTTTTTTTATTATGGTTAAAATGTTACGTGTTTCGAAGCTTGTCTCCTCTGTGGGGAAAGTCCCTTGACATGTAAATGTCTTATCTCACTATCAGTTATTAAATTAAAAATTAAATTTAGATAATAAAATTATCTCATTTATCAATTTAAACAATAACTCAGTGAGATATTTTAATTATTAATATAATAATAATTTTATTAGTTATCTCAGTTATTAAATTAAAAATATAATAATGTAATATTAATAATTAATAAAATTATTTATCATTATCTTAGCTATTAAATAATGAAAGAGATAGTGGTAACTCAATAATGTAAAAAAAATTTATAGTATTTTAAATTATAAGAAACAACAAAAAAAAAAAAAAAAAAAAAACATTGTCACTTTTGATACACCATACTAAACCTGTCAACACATTCAGCCATCAAATTATCGATGAAGATGAGAAAATAAGACCCTGAGGTCAAGAAATGTTTGCTTAAAAAATTTTATGCTATAAGCAAGTGATTTTTGTTTTAGGACAGATTAATTTAACTTTAAATTTGCTAATTTTATGAAAGTAATGTTTCAGAAATGTATATCTTACTTTAGCAGGATTTTCAAAACCGAAAAATAAGTTTGTTTACAATACATCTCTCTAAAAAAAGTTAAAAATGGCCATTTTGATTGGTTTTTTAGAAGCATTGACTAAAAATCATTCAAATTTCTATTTGAAATACTCCACAATATTTTTTTTTCTGGAATTAGAAAATTTAATCCTTTAGCTTTCAATTGAAGCAGTTGGAAAGCTTCGAAAAAGATTTTTTCTTTATGAAAGTACTTAAAAGTACTTTCATAAAGAAAAAATCTTAGGTATACAAATTTTTGGAGGTAACTATATAAATCCAGCTTTCATGCTAGGAATCAAAGAAGTTATAAATGGAGGGATTTGGTATTCTAACTAATTAATTCTTACAAAGATAGATTTAACAACTCTTCAAGCCAGTCTAAGGTTAACTATCAGTAGTCATTGTACTATCACGTGTTTCGCAAATGTTTTAACCTGGCTCAATGTATTATTTTAACCTAGGGAACAATGATTAATTTTTTTTTTATCTTATATTCAGGCATATCTTGTTTTAATTTCAAAAATTGACATACATAGATTAGCCAACTTTTTACTCCGATGCCATCCATAATGTAGATATTTGCATTTCAGTATATAATAGAAATAAAATTGATCAAAACATGGAATTAAGATTACAGAAACTGACTTATTGACAATGCATAACTCTAAATATGTCTAAGTGTATTTACATTAAATTTTCAGTGGGAAGCATGTGCTTTTATGTAAGAAAAAGTAAACATCTTTGTCAGTAATCAAAACTTAATTACACAAGACAATGAGTAACTTAAAAGTCATTTGTTAAAATAAAAGCAAAACTGACAAAAGGAAAGAAAATTATCAATTCAAGAAAACTTGTAATAAACCAATCAAACCTACAGTTTTCAATCATGCTAAATTGTTTCAAAGATCAATCATATCCATATATATATATATATATATATATATATATATATATATATATATATATAATCTTTTTCAATTTTGATCTGATGAAGTCTAATTTTACTAAAACAGTTTCCATTTTTCATATTCTTCAAACTGTCTGGATTCTGTATC